CGCGGGCGCAAATACCGGTGTAGCTGGCCAGGTCCCCGCCGCCGGCCCCCAGCAGTATGGCATCCCCTCCCAGCCTCAGACGCCAGCCTACGCCGCCGTCGGCTACCCTGGACAGGATCCCTCGCAGCTGCAGCAGCAGCCCGGTGTTCCTCAGTACGGTGCTGGCGCGCCCGCCTACGGCGCCCCCCAGCCTCTCGCGCCCCAACCCGGCGCACCTCAGCCCGCCGCCTACGGATACCAGGCTCCCGATGTTGGCTATCCCGGCCCCGGACAGGGCGCCCCCGCTCCCAACGCGCCTGGCGTCGCCGGCATCAACCAGCAGATGGCCGGCATGAACCTCGGGCCCGGCGGTCAGCCTCAGCCCCAGCCCGCCCAGCCCGCCCGCCCCATGGCTCTGAACCAGCTCTACCCCACCGACCTCCTGAACCAGCCCTTCAACGTCTCCGAGCTGGATCTGCCGCCGCCTCCCATCATCCTGCCCCCCAACGTGAGTCTCGCTCCTCTCCTCCGTGTCGCAGCTACACCCTCTCGCACCTCTCCTCCCTGCCACAGCGGTTCCTAACAGCCAACCTTTCTCCCAGTCGAGCGTCACACCTTCGCCTCACGCCAACTGCTCGCCTCAATACGTTCGCTCCACGCTGAACGCCGTCCCCACGACACACTCTCTCCTGAAGAAGTCGCGCCTCCCGTTCTCTCTCATCATCCAGCCGTACGGCGCACTCCACGATGACGAGAGCCCCGTCAACATTGTCCAGGACCAGATCATCGCGCGCTGCCGTCGTTGCAGGACCTACATCAACCCCTTCGTGACCTTCCTCGACCACGGCCACCGATGGAGGTGCAACATGTGCCAGCTCACCAACGACGTGCCCCAGGCCTTTGACTGGGACGCCGCGACGCAAAAGTCGACCGACAGGTGGGGTCGTCATGAGCTCAACTACTCGGTCGTCGAGTTTGTCGCTCCCCAGGAGTACATGGTCCGCCCGCCTCAGCCCCTTGTGTACCTCTTCCTCTTCGACGTCAGCTACGCCTCCGTCTCGACCGGCCTCCTCGCCACCAGCGCGCGCACCATTCTCGACAGCCTCAACAGGATACCCAATGCGGACCGCCGCACTCGTCTCGGCTTCATCGCCGTCGACTCGAGCCTCCACTACTTCTCGATCCCCAAGGACGAGGACGAGAACGGCGACACCAGCATGCTCGTCGTCAGCGACCTCGACGAGCCCTTCCTGCCCGTGCCCACCGATCTGCTCGTGCCCCTGACCGAGAGCCGCCAGAGCATCGAGAACTTCCTGACGAAGCTCCCCGAGATGTTCCAGAACAACCAGAACAACGGCTCTGCCCTCGGGCCCGCCCTCAAGGCCGGCCACAAGCTCATCTCTGCTCTGGGCGGTAAGATTGTCGTGCTCACTGCGTCGCTCCCCAACCTCGGCGTCGGCAAGCTCGAGATGCGCGAGGACAAGAAGGTTCTGGGCACGAGCAAGGAGAACGCGCTCCTGCAAACGTCCAACAGCTTTTACAAGAGCTTCGCCGTCGAGTGCTCGAAGAACCAGGTCTCGATCGACATGTTCCTCTTCTCCTCCCAGTACCAGGATGTCGCGTCCCTCAGCAACCTGCCTCGCTACACTGGTGGCCAGACGTGGTTCTACCCCGGATGGAACGCCGGCCGGCCCGAGGATGCCATCAAGTTTGCCTCGGAGCTCAGCGACCACCTCTCGTCCGAGATTGGCCTCGAGGCCGTGCTGCGTGTGCGTGCGACCACGGGTCTGCGCATGAACGCTTTCTACGGCAACTTCTTCAACCGCAGCTCCGACCTGTGCGCCTTCCCGGCCTTCCCTCGTGATCAGTGCTACGTCGTTGAGGTCGCCATTGACGAGAACCTGACAAAGAACGTCATCTGCCTCCAGACGGCCGTGCTGCACACGACGTGCAACGGCGAGCGCCGCATCCGTGTCATGACGCTGGCGCTGCCGACGACGACGAACCTGGCCGACGTCTACGCCTCTGCCGATCAGCAGGCCATCGCCACCTACTTCAGCCACAAGGCCGTTGAGCGCGCGCTCAGCGGCGGGCTCGAGGCGGCCCGCGACTCCCTGCAGCACAAGCTGATTGAGCTTCTGCAGACGTTCAGGAAGGAGCTCGCCGGCGGCAGCATGGGCGGCGGTCTCCAGTTCCCCTCGAACCTGCGCGGCCTGCCCGTGCTGTTCCTCGGTCTCATGAAGAACGTCGGTCTGCGCAAGTCTGCCCAGATCCCGTCGGATCTTCGTTCGGCGGCGCTCTGCCTGCTGTCGACGCTGCCCGTGCCTCTGTTGATGCAGTACATTTACCCGAGGCTCTACTCGCTCCACGACATGCCGGACAATGCCGGCACGCCAGACCCCGAGACGAGCCACATTGTGCTCCCGCCGCCGGTCAACCTCTCGTCGGAGCGGTTCGCGCCGTATGGTCTCTATCTCATTGACGACGGCCAGACGCAGTTCCTCTGGGTCGGGCGCGACACGGTGCCGCAGCTGCTCGCCGACGTGTTCGGCATCGAGGACAGGACACAGCTGCGCGTCGGCAAGGGCTCGGTGCCGGAGCTCGACAACGACTTCAACGAGCGGGTACGCGCCGTCATCTACAAGAGCCGCGACAACAAGGCCAAGGGCGTCGGCAGCATCACGCTGCCGCACCTGTACGTTGTGCGCGAGGACGGCGAGCCCAGCCTCAAGCTGTGGGCGCAGACGCTGCTGGTGGAGGACCGGGCGGACCAGGGCATGAGCGCCGCGCAATGGCTCGGCATCCTGCGGGAGAAGGTGAGTCCATGAGTTCGGCGCTCTCTTTTTTTCGTGACTAACACTGCCCAGGTTATGACGTAGGCTGCTTCAGGAGTGTCGAGGGGATGGTTGGAAAAGGACGGACGGATGGTCGTGGGTCCAATAGAGTAGGAAGCCTCTGGGGAAGCGTTTGGGGGGAGGTTTCATGATAATATCACAATAACATACAAAAGATGTCGAGGGGTGGTTTGTAGTGCTACAGTCCGCGCCCTTGGACAGGCCTTATGTTAGACGTCGCTCTGTGCATTGCCTGCTGTGCGTTCGTTGCGTGCATTGCCTGCTGTGCGTCCGTTCCGTGCATTGCCTGCTGTGCATCCAGTGTTATGGCGCGTTCGATGTGCTAGCAAGTGCTTCAGCGCCGCACCCAG